AATCATCATCATCATCATCATCATCATCATCATCATCATCATCATCATCATCATCATCATTATTATTATCATCATTATTATTAATACATTAACAATAGTATTTATTTATCGTTCTATAATTGTTTCAACGATTACAACAAAAATAAAAAGTTAGATCCGTATGAAATTTTTCCACGCGATAGATATAAACACGTAACACACATACATATACATATTACATATAGAAAGAAAACTTGCTAAAGCTATTTTCGTTCTGTTGAAGAAGACACGTAACTCACTAGGCTTTCAATGAAATCGACGTCAAGGGTCTGACTATCTTGAATCATTTATCTTCTCAACGTTATTCGAATATAACTTTTCTCATGGGATATTCTATATACACTTATGTTAGAACCAACACATTTACACGCTCACACACATAGAAAAAAAAAATATATATATATATATATATATATATTGAAACCACGAGAGATAGAAAAATATTCCTTTTTTTTTTGTTTTTAGTGTACGTGTGTGTGAATATGTCACAGAACACGAACACGAATCTATTATTTTTAAATAACCCCGTAAATAATTATTATTAATTTATTTATTAAAAAAATAACCGAAGAAAAAGGTTTTTTTTTTTTTTCATACTATATATGTGAAAACGAGACGAGATAGTTAGCTATTATTATCAACCCTTCACTGGTTCACCCTATGGTTTTCGCAAACAGACCACTTCATCGATGCAGTTAGGTCAATATTGTCTTTTACGGTTGGCACACCCTTCTACCACGATCGTTGCTCATTTAATAGCGATAATTGACCGAGCTTGTTTTATTACATCATTATTATCTGTATATTAATAATAATTGATCGATTATTATATTATCAATGATGTATATATATAGGGGGGTGGTCTATTAATTATTAAATTAGCAATTAAATATATTTCTGTTATTTGTTATAATATAGAAAAATGTTACATTCACATAATATTTATATTATTGAAGTAAATTAAACATTTTCTTTTTTTTGAGATATCATAAAAATCATTTGATCATAATTTTATTAAACAAGTAATAATAATAAGATAACTGCTATAATTAATTTTTGTTATTTATTTATTTATTTATTATTGTAAAACAAAATTTATTATATTTATCGTGACAAATATTTGTATAGTTTAAACTATTTTTTATTTATATCTTCATTAATTAATTTGTAAAATAAATTAAAATTATTACGTGGAATAAATTAAACGTTTTAGAGAAAGCATAAATGAAAATCATTTTATCATACACAGTTTTTACTACTACTACTAATGATAATAATAAAATAACTACTACAAGTATATTTTTTATTAATTATTTATTATTACGAAATAAATGTATTAATTTATCTAGAGAAAAAAATATTTGTAACGTGAAAATGATTTTTTATTAAATCGTAAATGGGATTAAAAAAAAAATAAAAAAAAAATTGGTTTATCGTTACAAATTGTGAAATAAAAATTGAATTTTAAAGATGATCAATATAAATTGACATTATAACACGTTCAAAGTTGTCTAAGATGTTCCTTTAGATATCAAGGACACCATCTGTGTTCTCAGTTAGGTTGAAATGTAGAATGCCGAGTCATTAATTACCATTCGATCTTTGCTCGCTTTGGTACAAGGGTTCGGTGTGGAAAGGGTTAAGTGATACCTTCTAAGGTAACATTCAAAATGTTAAATTACAAGTTTCTCTCTCCTCTTAATCGGATCAATCTAAATTCTACAAATTGGTGACACCTGTTTCAAACTGTTCGAGACGTGCAATATATTAAATGAATAGTACATAATTTTATAAATATGTATTTAAAAATATCTATAAGTTTGGCCTTGAAAAAATTATTCAATGAAATAAAACAACGAGTATTGTAAACATTTGAAATGATTTTTTTATTAAAATATAAAAAAAACTGGTGTGTGTAATTATGTACGAAAACGAACATAACCTCAATAACCTCAAAAATAACTTCAATTATCTCCCGTATCAATATAATTATTCTACATTTGTCTGATAAAATAAAATGAAGATATTAAATTCCATTGATAAAGGTTTTAATTAATATATACAATCTAAATTATTTATTTACGAATTAATTCATGCCGGTAAATTTGAAATCGTTTTTCCCGCGCATGCGCATCGTGTAAATATCGACAACTTCG